CCCCCCCCCCCACTGTCTCTCTCTCTCTCTCAAAAATAAACATTAACAAAAATTGTCTTTAAATATTCTGTCTCTCTCTCTCTCTGCCCCTCTCCCCCACTAACATGCTCTAAAATAAAAATAAAAATTAAAAAAATTTTAAGTTAACTCCCATTTGCCAGTGGGAGTTGTTGTGTTTTTAAACTTATCTCCCATATTTTTAGTTGTGGGCATGAAAGCAACGTAGGGCAAACACACACACACCCCACTTCTAGGAGAAGGTAGAGAGAAGAGATTACAAGCCCTGGAAAAGCCTGTTTGGAGGTATTGTGACAGATGCACGCAGCTGCCTGAAACAGGAGAGAGGAGTCTGCTCGCTCACAAGGTGGCGGTCCAGGGGCCCTGGGGCTGGTGCAGGGGCCCTGTGATGCGATCAAGCTCCTCCTCTGCTGGCCCAGGCCGTGCTGGACGGTCATCTTCACACAAGACGGCGGCTGGGCCCTGGGCGTCCTGTCCACACTCGAGGCAGGGAGCAGGGCAAAGGCTCTGGGCAGAAGGCAGACGCCGGCCAGGTCTGGCCCCTCATAAGAAGCCCTGTCCAGAGACTTCTGCTTGACATTTCCTTGGCTGGGGTGTGCACACTGCCTCACCTGCAGGCAAGGGGGCCTGGGAAGGCGAATAACTCACACGGGCAGCCACTGCACCCGGTGAAACAGAGATGCCCTTAGGAAGAAAGCTGGGGACAACAGACACAGGGCAGGCGACTGGCGGGGGTGTGGCACCAGGGCCAAGCCCAGCGTCCGATACTCCGTGAAAAGGATACTAGGACACGCTTTGGCAATTGCTCCTTTGTCGCCAGCACAACTCACCACGCAGTTCCTCAGAGAAACTTCCTGCAGCTTGCTCAGCTGACTGCATGAAAAATAGAGTTCACATGTATGTACAAGCATGTACATGTCCCCTGGCTCTTTAAAACCTAAAAAGCATTTCAGACATATCAAAAGTCACCAAAAATAACAAATACCGGCACCCACCACCCACTTTAAGAAATAAAGCTTTAGGGGTGCCCAGGTGGCTCCGTCGGTCGAGTGTCCAACTCTTGATTTCAGCCCAGGTCATGATCTCACATTTCATGAGTTCGAGCCCTGCACCGGGCTCTGTGCTGACCATGCAGAGCCTGCTTGGCATTCTCTCTCTGTGCCCCTCTCCCCCACTCTCACTTTCTCTCTCTCAAAATAAACATTAAAAAAGAAAGAAAGCTTTAAACTACAAAGAAAAAAAGCAAGCATCACACACACTACAAATAGAAATGAAGTCCTCTGCGTTCCTCCCAGAACATTTCCCTTCCTTCTCTGCTCCCTTTGGATAACCAGTATCCTACACTTGGTGTTTATTTAAACTTAAGCACTGAATAGTTTTACCACACGTTCGCATACCCCTAATTATAGTATTTCCTGTATAATGAAATTTGATATAAACGGTATCCTACCATATATGTCCCCCTCCAACCTTTTCCCCGTCAACAGTATATTGTTCAGCAGTGAGATTTAGCTCTACGGACCCATGTACTCTAGAGCCACTCATTTTTATACATTATAGACCACAAATAATTTATTTACTCCTCTGATTATTCCCAACCATGCTGTGTACCTGCTGCTCTCACACATGAAAGTCTCTCTAGGGTTACATCCTGGAGAGCGTGCGTCCCTTCAGCTTTATTACGTAATCTCTGAAGCCACTTCTTAGGTGTGGAGAATCTGCGTTTTCTACTCATTCAAAGAGCCCGTGTGTCTAGTCTCTGAAGAGTATCTAGAACATGAAATCTGGAGACCCATCGCTGGGGTTCAAATCCCAATTCTACTACTTCCTTTGGACTTCAGGAAGCTAAAATCCCTGGGCCTCCGATTCCACAGCTTTAAAATGCTGTGGCATACGCACGTGTTTACAGCATCATTACCGCAGGAGCCCAAGGGTAGAAACAACCCAGGAGCCCATCGATGGATGAACGGATAAACAAAGGGCAGTGCATCCACACGGTAGAATACTACTCAGCCTTAAAAAGGAAATTCTGACATACAATACACTGTGGGCAAACTTGAGAACATGATGCTAACTGAAAGAAGTCAGTCACCAAAAGACAATACCGTATGATTCCACTCACGTGAGGTTCCCAGGAGTCAACTTTGCTGACAGAAAGCAACATGGTGGTTGCCAGAGGCTGGGGGTGGGGGGAGGGAAATGAGGTGCTGTTTGATGGGGACAGAGTTTCAGTTTGGGAAGGTGAAAAGGTTCTGAAGATGGAGGGTGCTGATGGCTGCCCAACAATGTGAATGTAGTTAGCACCACCAAACTATACTTAAAAATGGTTAAGATGGGGGGCGCCTGGGTGGCTCAGTCGGCTGAGCGTCTGACTTCAGCTCAGGTCATGATCTTGCGGTTTGTGAGTTCGAGACCCGCGTCGGGCTCTGGGCTGACAGCTCGGAGCCTGGAGCCTGCTTCGGATTCTGTGTCTGGCTCTCTCTCTGTCCCTCCCCCACTGCTCATGCTCTGTCTCTCTCTGTCTCAAAAATGAATAAAACATTAAAAAAATAATTTAAAAAAATGGTTAAGATGGTATATTTTGTGTTGTGGTTTTTTTTTTTTTAAATAATCTTAAATGCTATAATTGGTGAGTTAGCATTTGTGAAACCTCAGAATACTGCCTGAT